TACCATAACATATCACCCTTAATCCTCAAAAGGATCATGTCAAACTCATTACACACAACACATTTAGTACAACTTTAAGAGTTATGAGTCTTAATAGTTCTAGAGTTGCTGAAAAGTTCCAATCTACAGTGTCCTCTGAGACTCAAGGTAAATTCTTAGCTGTGAAACCCTATAAAACTAAAAAGTTAAGTACCGCTATCACACAATGTCACAAAGTAAGCATTCTCATTTCACAATTAAGAAATAGGAAAACAGAAAGGAATCAATCAAGGCAAGATCTAAAACCAATGGAATAATCATTTAATTCTGTAAATTCATGCCCAGTACCCTGGGTAGATTTTGGTGAGATATGAGCTCCAAAGAGCTGTGCTGTTATGACCTTGCCAGTTGCAGCTTATTTAGCCTCTGGTGCTATGTAGTTTTGCTCTACAAACATTTCACATTCCTGTTATCTCCCAATTGATAGAGTCTCCACCACTGCTTTGGCTTCTCTCTCACAGCTGTACACATTGCTCTCTCAGGGGCTCCTGGCAGAGACTGTGAGAATGATGTATACTTTTTCCTGGCCTTCCAGGGATTTTTCTAAAATCTGCGTGCAAGCCTCTGTGATGTTATGACTCTTGCATTTTTCAAGAAAAACTAGTATTACATAGAAAACACAACGTCTACTGCCAGCTTAAGCAGTAGCCTGGTCCACTTGATCCATGGCTACAGAGATCTTTAAAGGCCTAGATGTCTGAACTCAGGGGAAACTTCTCTATACAGCCCTGAAAGTGTAGGATGGTCTTGGGCTCTCTTTCAAAGTAAAGTCTGAAAGATAGTTGCCATTTCATATCTTTTAGCTTGTTATAGATAGGGTCTGGACAATTTTTGAGATGTCTTAAAGCCATCTTTCCTACTGTCGTGATGCAAAGCATTTGTCTTCTTTTTAATTGTAATATCTTTTTAGCAACCATGCTTGCTCTCACCAAATATACAGGTGATTTTTTTTCTGGTAAAACTGAAAACTATCTAGATCATTCAGCTGTGCTTTTTACTCTTCTGATTCTAACAATAGATCTGCTTAAAATCAGTAAGCAGCACTCATGCCACAGCATGAATATTAGGCTGTCATAAAATTTGCTCCACTTGATCAACTATCCACCACCATTAATCTCAGTCTTGGACAAAATCTCAGGACATGGTTAAAATGCAGAAAAAACTTTTTGCAGGAGTATAACACAGTTATACCAGTCCAGTTTTCTATATGGTCCTCATTCCCATCTAAAGTCTCATTAGGTCAGGCTTTACTATATCTATTCCTATTAGCACCTTGGTCTTCTAAGTTGCAACTAGAACCACCTATCAAGCTTGGCTTACAGTATTCCAGGGATTCTCTAGGTAGCATCTTAAAACCCTTTCAAACTCCTGAAAATCAATTCCAAAGGCTTCTAAACCATATGGTCAGACACAATCACAGCAACAATCCCATCTGTCAGACAAATTTTCTGTATTAGTCACATTCTCACTGCTGATACAATATACGCAACATCACAAGTTAAATGAGGTTATTCTGACAAATAGTTTAAGAAGTCTCAGTCCATGCATGATCACCAGCCTCCAGGGCAGAACAGCATGACAGAGGGAAGCTGCTCACGTACTGGTAGCCAGGAAGCAGCGAGAAAGAAGGGAGGAGCCGCAGACACAGCCTCAGTGATCAACCATCAACCAGGACCCTCCTAATTCACTGATGTGTTTAGTGCCCTGTGATGCAAATACTCTTCAGAAATTTTACCTCTGAACATGAGATATTTTGCATGTGTGTGTGTGGGAGGGACATTTGAGATCTAAACTGTAACAATCCCTCACTTTATTAAAACTATGAGGACTGTAAGTAAAGTGAACAGAAATCAAGGATGGAATGATTTATGGTCTGACTATCTATACATATAAAGGAAAGTTGTTGTTTCTTGGGCCATCATGGCTTTGTTAATTGCTTTATGCTGTTAGCAGTTTTGCTAGTTTGTGGCTTTAACTTCCCAGCCTTTGCTGCCACTAAAGAAGGCTGTGCTCACCCAAAAGAGATTAAAACGGGAAAAAAGAAACTGACAGCACAGAGAAATGAAACAAAGGCATAGGAGAGAGGTGAAAGTAATTTTCCTTCAGAGGGAAATTCTCATGACAGACTTTTTGTGTCACAAATTATCACAGCTAGTATTATAAAATAAAATCTTCATACTTTCAGAGATATATTATACATTTGAGCTATTTTAAAGCCTAGGAAAAAGGATTTGCTAATAACATCAACATGTTCTAGCTAATACACAAAACATTACTGTTGAGTTAATGGATATGACCCTGACTGTGAGCTAAGATACTCTCACCTTGCTATATTCACTATACTCACAGGGGCAGTAAGAGGATACTACCTAACTGGTATCTCAACCACAAAGATGACAATGAAAGTTACATCCAGGACAATAAAAAGTTTACTTCTGATAAAAACCTCAGGGAGTTCATTTAATGATGGAATGGGTCTAGTAAACTCACATTCTTAAAATAATATATATCAAGAAGACTGCTTGATTTTCATCATGAAGGTACCATAATATTTCCAAGATACAACCCTGTGACATTTTCAGGAGAAAATGACAAGTAGAAGGGCAGTGCTTGGAATGAGGATGAGCTTAAATGGTATGATTTCTATCTTGGATCACAGTCAAGCAAGGTAAGCTTTCCAGAAACTGCAAAAATGAGTCCCAGGATTCCTGGAGAGCAACTAAATGTAATTGGTTAAATTGGAAAGAATCTCTCTCTCTCTCTCTCTCTCTCTCTCTCTCTCTCTCTCTCTGTCTCTCTGTCTGTCTGTCTGTCTCTCTCTCTCTCTCTCTCTCTCTCTCTCTCTCTCTCTCTCTGTGTGTGTGTGTGTGTGTGTGTGTGTGTGTGTGTGTGTGTGTGTGTAAGGGCGGTTCTATGAGGCAAATAATGAGCATTTAATGGGTATGAGAATGGATAAGGTCCTCTGGTAAAATGTTCATCATCATAGAAATGCTGACTAGAAACAGTATTAAATTTTACCTACTTTTTTTCCTAAATGGAGCAACTATAAGTTCAAAGGTTCACATTTCCTTTCTTTTTAAAGGGTAACCCATTAGATCCCAGATCTTTAGTAGCTCTGCATGGCAACCTAACTTCCAAGCGATTTTCTACTAGCGGATTGCAAATGCTACTTTCATAGATCGATCTGTCATGTTACAGCTGGAGTCCTAGAAATGCCCCAACTTTCTAAGGAATTATGTTGCAATAATGGAAGGGATCACAGTGGCAGTTCATTATTGAGCCATCATTGTGATAAACACACGTTCCATGCAATGGACATTTCCTGAGCATTTTTATTTCCTTCTAAATGAAATTAAAAAACTCTGTTCTTGGCAGATAAAGTCCCAAAAGCCCTATTTTATTCTGGTTATCTGTAGAAAATTTCAAGCAATTACATTTTAAAGTACAAAGTATATTTAGGGAACTTTTTCCAATTTATAATAAGAATAAGAAACTTCTGAGTCCATATATCAGTGCATGTTAAACATGTTTATGTGGATTTATAGATCCATGGTTATTTACACCTCACAGGGGATGAGACACAAGGATTAAACACAAACACATAATCTCTAGAATAATAGTATCAAGTACATTGGTACTGGGAAGCATGCCCCTTTTTCTCGTAGAATAACTTAAAGTGTTATGATTTAAATTTGCTTGATTGGGCCTGAAAGCTTTTTGACTTTCAGAACAAAAGACTCTGACTTTCTTCTTTTTAGATACTGTTTCTCTTAAATGGTAGCTTGAAGTGTAAGCCAAGATGTCTCATCAAAACAGTCTCTAGGAGGTTGAGCAAAAAGAAATGTTTACTTAGCTTCGTATCATCTCTAAAGAATTTTGATCACTACTATCTGAGAATCAGGAGTTTAATAATCAAAAATAAACATGTAATATTTATAGAAAGTTTATATGTGACTCAATATGGGGCTGCCATAAAAGAAGCTAAACAAAACTCTTCCAAGGGCAAAGGCAAGTATGTTTTTTAATCATAAAGGGAGTATATCTGTTGTTAAAAATTTGGAAAATATTGAATACTGTGATGATCATTTGATACTGGATGATAAATGATTCTTCCTTATTTTTTTCTGTATGGTTTTACAGCAAATAGCATTTCTTGTAGGAATGGTGTAGGAAAAAGTGAAACAGAGATCACCATGGAGGAAAACTCTTCAATAGTTAAAAGAGTGCTTCTTACAATTCTCTTGCAGAATCTACCAAAGGAAAAAACAAAATCTCTTTTTGTTTCTGGCAAACAAAACAGAGTTAACGTTTGGACAAATCAATGAAGTATGAGGTTAGAACTTTTTATATTGTTTGATAATACACTCATCATGAAAATATGCCTTGAGTCATGCCCCAACAGGACAGAGAAAATCAAGCCTGATTAGAAGTGACTATGCTTTTGGCTATCCTTTCAATTTCTCTTTACTTTTCCTGACAAGTGTGTTTTATGCACAGGAGGTTCTCACTAGGTCACTGAGAATCAGAGGATGTGGAACTAGAAGGAAGTGAAATTTATGGAATATTCCCTGAGGCAATTCAAGTGATAAAATTATTTATAGGTTTTGAAAGCTCTAAGGAATGTATAGGACCCTTAGGTGTTTCTTTGCAGAAGCTTAAACAGAAGAAGTTCAAGAGATCAGTGAAAAGTATGTATTTGTTCTGTATGTTTTCATTTGAACTACAGCCTTGAGTTCCTACAATCTCACCCCTATAGATGATTCAGATGAGTCTAATAGCTGTATTCCAGAAGACTTTTAGATTATTTCCATTTGAAATAAAAAGCATCCTGATTTTTCACCTAACATATCAAGAGTTGTCCAAGTGGAAATCCTTGACATATGCCTAGGAGCCCTGTTCAGTGAGGAATATATCAAGTTAATCCTCAACCTGTCCCATTGCTCAATCTCTTGGTCTCTTACCTTTCTGAACCAGCACTTGACTTTAAACTCCGAAAATTTTGAATGTCTAAATCCAAACTGTAGCTCCGTCCACTTTCAGCTTTTGGAGTTATAATTTCTCCTCTGGTTGCTGATCTGAACTTACTAAGAAGGAATCTGAAATTACATATATATGTGCATTTAACAGTAAAATAACTAAGAAAACATTTTAAAATCTTGTTTCCAGAATACAATTTTTGGTTTGGGGTACAGCTCTGTAGTCGAGCGGGCCCTAAGACAACACACACACATGCAGGATGTAATTCCTAGTACTTTCAACAGTAAGCAACACTTCAATAAAGGAGCACTGGGGCTCAAGAGTTCTGAGGAGCCTCCAATGCCTCTGTTACATAATGTCAAGGGAGGAGGTTATGACATTATCCCAGGATCATCCCACTTGATAAGTTTGGCCTCTATTACTGCTAAGAAAATCATCTACTTTGAGAATTTACCATTGCTATATGAGAAGACAAAAGCGTCTGAAATGAGCCAGTTTGCAAGGATGCTAAGTGTAGGAAGCTTGTACTCACCTTGGTCAGAGAGGAGATAATCTTCCAGGAGATGCTGAGGTAGCAACTTGTTAGACTAGCACTCCATAAAAGCAGTGACTATATTTTTTTATACATTGTCACATCCCTTGAGCCTAGAATGGTGTCTCACACATACCATAACCCTACCAATTCTAATTAAATAAGTTACTAAACTCACAGAGTGGAAAGCATCTTTATATCTTCTGCAACTTTCCCCTATGATAATGAAATTGAAGCAATGGAGTGTCTCAGGGTGGATGAAATGTGATTGCATTCTCATTTCACCCTTTTGTTTGGAACTTACAAATACAGCTTTTCAGGAACTGAGACTTGATTACAGATGCAGCATACTGAGTTTCCCAAACATATCTGTTTTCAAATACACTATTATAAAAGGATATGGAGTGGAAGGAGAAAAATAATTGAAATATGTTTGTTCATCTATCAATTCTCCCACAATGAATGTAATCATTCTGTGCCCTGAGCATGTGCTAATAAAAATTAATTAAAAAAAAAAAAAAAACCAAAGCTATATTTTTTGAGAGAATGGTATTGGGAGAGACCAGTTTATTTACTTGATATTCAACAGTTTTCTAGGGAAAAGTGGATTACAAAGATACTGGCAGAATCTAATAGAATCTTCTAAATTCCCTTTGCTTCAGAGAACCTTGGAAGTATGTCATTATCAAAGTGCCAAAATCTTTAATCTACCAGAAAATTACATTTTTTTTTGGTGAGACCAGCACTCACTATGTCAGTGTCTACTGTTCTGAGAACAATCTCATGGAAATCTCCACCTCTGCACCTCTGCACCTCTGCTAAAGGTGTCTGCTCTGTCAAGATTGATTTTTCTTCCCTTCCAACACCCTGAACCCTATCCATCTTTCAAGTTCCACATCTAGCCCTGCTTAAATCTGATGTCTTTCTTGATGGCTTTGATGTCCTCCCAAGCATTTATTTTTGAGCTATACATTTAATACTTACCTATTGCCTTATGTCATCTGTTGTGAAATATTGACATCTTGCTTTATTTATAAAGGCTCTCAGTATCTCATATTGCCACGTTATATTTTCCCACAATTCCTTCGCACTTATTAATTTTTCAGGTGTTAACATTTTCTCCCTGGCTAGATATTATGTTTGTTAAGACTGAGAACCAGAGGTGCCAGAGACAGCCAGCAGGATTAGATTCATTTTATGACAGTTTGAACAATTCAGGATTTGTATAATTCATTATGCTGGTGAGTTACTTAATGTCTCTTGGCTCCAAGCCCCATTTAGCTCAATAACATCCACCATGATGCCTACTTCGGAGTCTGCAAAATATAGATCCAAGTGGCACTTGTAAGCTATTAGTTACTTATTTAGTCACACCACTCTTTTTTTGTGAGGACACAGCCACTGTTAGTGATAGCACAAAAGCAAAGAAGCCACTAGTCTAACACTCAAAGAGCTCACCGTTAAGTTTGTGGAGGATGGTAGAGTGCAGTGTAAGGAATGATATGTAGGCACAAGGCACTGTGGGAATCCTGATGAGGGATAATTTGATTTAATGTGATGAGAGATCAATACCTGTGATGAGATACTTTGAAGACTTTAGATCATCTTTTCCATTTATCTCTGTTAATTAATGAAGATGTGGTTAGTCATGAGTGTTTGAGTGATATGACATTTGGATTTGATTGCCATAGTTCAGGGCACACACACCAAAAATCCCAGACTTTTTTAGGGTGCAATAAGGGCTCAGACACTGTCAGCATTTTATGTTGGATTTTGCTGAGAGGATTAAGCCAAAAGTACCTGTAAAAGATCATGTGATTTAGCACATATTACAGTTCTTGCTGCATTGACCACTTCAGTGGTCAAGAGACTGCTTCGGAAATAAAGGTAAAGTGCAGGACAGCATATGAAGAAGCAGTTTAACTTTTGGTTCTTATAGTCTGGATTTGGGGGGCAATTTTTCTCCCTTGATGGAATCCATTTGTCGGTGGTTCCTTAGTACCCTCTTAAAATGTTTACTTTGCAGGTGTTTGGAATAAAGATTGAAGCTTCACTTGGAGAGGCTGTCTTACCCTTTTCTCTTGGGACCATCATGGTTGGCCTTCTGCCCAATAGAAGGCGAAGTGTCTGATTTTTCTCCATCCTGGAAGGTTTGCTCGTGTCTTTGCATTTCTTCAGAACCTTATTAGAATAATCAAAAGACAAATTTATGTACACAATGGCCCGAAATGAAAGCAAATTTCTACTCTGTATTCACTTTTTTAAATAAGCATAACACAAAATAATTGTGGTTTCTCAAGAACACAGTTATTTCTAATTTGTTGAATATTCCAGAGTTGATTAAGCAGTAAAATAAGTTCTCTGTGGGAGATTTGCTGAGATAAGCGTTTTAAGAAAGAGTACAATGGAATAATGAACCCATTATTCCTCCATACAGATTTTTAAAATGAGGGGTCCTGAGTTCATGAAAACTCTAAATCCCTAAGGACTAGTTTCTGATATGAAATTACAGAAATGATACCTTGATTTCTGAGCACATAGGGCCAGGTTTCCCTAGAGGGTAGCATCTATATATATACCTGGTGAGTTGTGAGTCACTTCACACACTGAAAAGTACTGGCTTTTGAGTGAACGGACAGATCACAGCTTACTGCTTAATTCTTATTTTATGTCACTCATCCTTTTGCTGCATTAGATCTGATTGTTACTCATTGCTGCAAGTACCACGCAGAAGTGACACTAGAGTCAGTTTCAAGCATCATGGCCCTTCCTGCTAGACTTAAAAACAACTACTCTTCTATCTGTGAAAGATCAGATAGCCTAGGAACAGTCTAAAAGACATTTGTTCTACCTTTATTACCCTATTCATGAGAAATATGCCCCCAAACACAAATATCTCTCAATATTTTACCAAATGAATTACAGTTTAAAAGTATTGAAAAGTATTCTCATTGTGAGTGTTATTTGCATTTGGTGCCAGCATAATACTGCATTGACTAAAACTGTACTGTATGCATTTCAGGTCAGTTAGCATCTCTGGCTCCTGTCCACTCAGTGCTTTAACTCACTCTTGTCATCGTGCAACAAGAAATGATTTTTGCATTTCCAAATGCTCCCAATTTGGGAATGGGGTGCAGTGCACAATATCAATGCTTGCTCAAGAATCAAAGTTCAAAAAAAGGACCATTTAAAAAAATTATAAAAAAATAGCCTGAAATATCAAGACTTTCTTTCACAATGTGAATCATTTAGTCTTTTTATGATACTTTCTTAAACACTTAGTAAAATACTAAAATTGCATTCAGAAGAAGAACTATGATGAAGATAAATGGCTTTTCTAAAAATTTCAGTGTGTCATATATATAAAAATATATATAATCCCTACACATTTTATTTTCCATTAACCTCTTCTTTCTTATATGAATCATGTATTAGTATTTCATGATACCAACTTGTAAAATGACCAAAGTGATTCAGAAAATTCAACTATACTTAAATGTTACAAGACACACGATAGTAATTTAGCCTGCCAAAATGAAGATTAGAATAGTTTTGAAACCACATAATTACCTGGACTTCTTCTTAAGATTGACTGTCGGACAACATCAGTGCCCAGAACATTGACTTGCTTGAAACGCTTTGCCTTTTCTTCATAAAACCATTCACCAGTTATGCTTCTTAGCTGCCTACTCAAAGGAAAGAAGGAGAGTATTGACACTGAAATACTTAGCTGTGTAATTAGCTCTCGAAATTCCTAGTCAAGTAAAAAAAAATAGCCAGTTATTTATAGTTTATCTTAATCTCTGAAGTATTTCATGGTGATTAACATATTTACTATAGATTTTGGAGACCTGCTGAGCTCCCGATAGGTGGGCTGGCCCACACTACCAGCCTAGCCCAGCCTGTTTAGCTGCCGCGCCTGGCCATAGGTCTGCAGAGGAGGAGCTGGGCAGATCTGGGGTGCCCTCACTGGCCTCTCTGCTTGTCTGGAGGACTCTGGATTTCTGCGCCCAGACTGCTGGAGTTCCCTCAGGCTTCCAGGTGCAGTGAAGGAGAGAGGTGGGTTTGAGGCTTCCACATCAGCCTCCCCATTCCCGGCTTCATTTGGAGACCTGCTGAGCTCCCGATAGGTGGGCTGGCCCACACTACCAGCCTAGCCCAGCCTGTTTAGCTGCCGCGCCTGGCCATAGGTCTGCAGAGGAGGAGCTGGGCAGATCTGGGGTGCCCTCACTGGCCTCTCTGCGTGTCTGGAGGACTCTGGATTTCTGCGCCCAGACTGCTGGAGTTCCCTCAGGCTTCCAGGTGCAGTGAAGGAGAGAGGTGGGTTTGAGGCTTCCACATCAGCCTCCCCATTCCCGGCTTCATTTGGAGACCTGCTGAGCTCCCGATAGGTGGGCTGGCCCACACTACCAGCCTAGCCCAGCCTGTTTAGCTGCCGCGCCTGGCCATAGGTCTGCAGAGGAGGAGCTGGGCAGATCTGGGGTGCCCTCACTGGCCTCTCTGCGTGTCTGGAGGACTGTGGATATCTCTGCAACCAGGGAGGGTCCACAGGTTCCTGAAGCACTGCGGCCTGTGGTGAGTACCCTAACCCGGCTGCGATTGAAGAACTGTGGAGCTTCCAAGGGGCAGGTGGGCGCACAGTGTCCCTGAGGCCCAGCTTGTCTGGAACTGCGGAGTTCTGAGCAGGCAGAGGAGGGCCACTGGTTCTGTAGGCCTAATGGCTTGGAGTAGCGCGGCGCCAGAGTCCCAGTAGCTCCAAACATAGAAGGGGATTTTCAACAGATCCTGAGGAAGCTTTCAAATAACACTTGAAACACAGAAATATAGGAAAATGACAAAACGAAAGACCAAATTACAACCTCAAACCTCCAGCCCATCTCAAGAAACCCTAGGAGCGATGTATATAGAAGAAAATATATCCCCTCCACCTCATATATCGGACACAATAGCCACTGAAATTGACAAGCAACTCCAGGAAGCTTTAAAGAAATTCAAACTCGAAATAATCTCCCAGATAAAAGAAGAAATGATAAAAGAAATGAAAGAGATTCTAAATATATCTAAAGAAGACACAGATAAAAAATTGGAGGAACTAAACAAAAAGATAGAATCCTTAGACGAGCAATATAAGAAACAAACAGAATACATAATGCAGATGCACAGAGATATACAGGAAATAAAAAACTCCACTGAAAGTTGTAAAAACCACCTTAATGAAAGTGAAGATAGAATTTCAGACCTTGAAGACAGGATTGCAGCTAGTGAACAGGAAAGGAAAGATCTTTTGAAAATAACAAGGAACCAGGAAACAACAATTCAACAACTGCAAGACGATGCAAAGAAGAATAACATAAGAATGATAGGGATTAATGAAAGAGAGGGAGACAACATGAAGGATGTCAGGAGGATATTTAGAGAAGTAATAGCTGAAAATTTCCCAAGCATGAGATCAGAAACTGACATCAGGATCAGTGAAGCATATAGAACTCCAAACAGTCATAACCAAAATAAAACTACACCCAGACATATAATAGTCACCATCCCAGAAATCCAACACAAGAATAGATTATTAAAAGCTGTCAGAGAGAAAAGACAAATCACTTATAAAGGAAAACCTATCAGAATCACAGCAGACTTCTCAGCACAAACGATAAAGTCAAGAAGAGCATGGAGTGAAGTATTCCAGATCCTAAAGCAAAATGATTTCCAACCAAGACTGATATATCCTGCAAAACTATCATTCAAAATAGATGGTGCAATACGATACTTCCATGACAAAGAACAGCTGAAGAACTTCATGAACACCAAACCAACCCTGCAAAAAATATTGAAAGACAGTTTAGATACACAAAGGAAAAAACCACTAAGCAAAGCAAATAATTAAACAGAACCGAAAGATAAAGATGCAACAGCAGAGAGATAACATTCCTACAATTAACCAGCATTTAACAGTAATAACCATTAATGTAAATGGTCTCAATGCACCAATCAAAAGAAACAGACTAGCAGAATGGATCAAGAAACAAAATCCAACCATATGCTGTTTACAGGAAACCCATCTAACCCAGAAAGATACTCACAGACTGAAAGTCAAAGGATGGAAAACAATTCTTCATGCAGCAGGAATCCAAAAAAAGGCAGGAGTAGCCATTCTGTTTGCAGACAACGTGAACTTTAAACCAACAATGACCATAAAGGACAAAGAAGGTCACTACATACTCGTAAGGGGAAAACTCCAAGAGGAAGAGATAACTATCTTAAATATATACGCACCAAACTCCAGAGCACCCAGTTATATAAAACAATTATTAACAGAAATGAAAACTCAAATTATCAGTAACACAATTGTAACAGGAGACCTTAATACACCACTGACACCAAGGGACAGATCAACCAGACAGAAAATGAGCAAAGAAATAACAGAACTGAATCACACCTGTGAACAAATGGGTTTGATAGACATATACAGAATGTTCCACCCAACAACATCAGAATACACATTCTTCTCAGCAGTACATGGATCATTTTCTAAAATAGACCATATATTAGCTCACAGAACATATTTAAGCAAATGCAAAAGAGTTGAAATCATCCCTTGCATATTATCGGATCATAGCGCTCTGAAATTAGAAATTAATGACAAAGGATACTGCAAAAATTCCGCAAACACATGGAAACTAAATAACACACTCTTGAGTAATCAGTGGGTCACAGAAGAAATTAAAGAAGAAATTAAACAATACCTAAAAGAAAATGAAAATGCAGATACAACTTACCGGAATCTGTGGGATGCAATGAAAGCCGTTCTGAGAGGAAAATTTATTGCACTGAGTTCCCACATCAGGAAAACAGAACGAATACAAATAAATAACTTGATGCTACACCTCAAACAGCTAGAAAAAGAAGAGCAAGTCAAGCCCAAAGCCAAAAGAAGAGAGGAAATTATAAAAATCAGAGCAGAAACCAATGCAATAGAGACTAAGAAAACAATCCAAAGAATCAACGAATCAAAGAGTTGGTTCTTTGAAAGAATAAATAAAATCGATAAGCCCCTAGCCAACCTTATTTAAAAAAGGAAAGAAAAAGCTCAAATTCATGCAATAAGAAATGAAAAAGGAGAAATCACTACAGACCCAATAGAAATACAGAGGATCATCAACACCTATTTCGAAAACCTCTACTCTCAAAAGTTTGATAACACAGAAGAAATAGACAGATTCTTAGAAGCATATGAAGTACCAAAGCTAGATCAAGAGGATATAAAACTGTTGAATAACCCAATCTCTGCTAATGAAATTGAGAATGTAATTGGGTCCTTGCCCACCAAGAAGAGCCCAGGCCCAGATGGATTCACTGCAGAATTCTACAAGAAATATAAAGAAGACCTAATGCCGACACTCCTCAAACTATTCAATGAAATTGAAAGGGAAGCAATCCTTCCTAAGTCATTCCTGGAAGCAAATATTACTCTAGTACCAAAACCTGAGAAAGACCCAACTATAAAAGAGAACTATAGACCGATCTCCCTAATGAACACAGATGCAAAAATCCTCAATAAAATATTGGCAAATAGGATCCAGCAAATCATCAAGAAGATTATACACCATGACCAGGTGGGATTCATCCCAGGAATGCAAGGATGGTTCAACATACGCAAATCAATAAATGTAATCCACCATATCAATAAAGCCAAAAATAAGAATCACATGATCATCTCTATAGATGCAGAAAAAGCCTTCGATAAGGTCCAACACTTATTCATGATAAGAACTTTACAGAAAATTGGAATAAATGGTCTTTACCTCAATATAATAAAGGCCATTTATGACAAACCAACAGCCAGCATCATACTAAATGGCCAAAAATTGAAAGCCTTTACTTTAAAGTCGGGTACAAGACAAGGATGTCCTTTATCACCACTCCTATTTAATATAGTACTGGAAGTACTAGCCAGAGCAATTAGGCAAGAAAGAGAAATAAAAGGGGTAAAGATAGGAAAAGAAGAAGTTAAATTATCATTGTTTGCAGATGACATGATACTCTACATAGAAGACCCCCTATACTCCACTGAAATACTCTTAGATACAATAAATAAATTCAGTAATGTGGCTGGATACAAAATCAATACTCAGAAATCAATAGCATTCCTATACGCGAACAACAAAATTACAGAGAGGGAAATAAGAGAAACTGGACTATTCACATTAGCAAGCAAAAAAATGAAATATTTAGGAATTACTCTTACGAAAGAAGTGAAAGACTTATACAGTGAAAATTATAATACACTGAAAAAGGAAACTGAAGATGATCTCAGAAAATGGAAAGACATCCCTTGCTCATGGATAGGAAGAACAAACATTGTGAAAATGGCCATTCTCCCAAAACTGTTATACAGATTCAATGCAATCCCAATAGAAATACCATCAACATACCTTATAGATCTAGAGAAATCACTCCTAAATTTCATCTGGAACCAGAAGAGACCTAGAATCGCAAAGGCAATTCTAAGCAGCAAAGACAAAGCAGGAAGCATCACAATCCCTGACTTGAAGTTATACTACAAAGCAACAGTAGTAAAATCAACATGGTATTGGAATCAAAACAGAGCTGAAGATCAGTGGAATAGATTAGAAGATACAACCACAACTACGAACACACTCAACCACCTTATTTTTGATAAAGGAGC